TATGTGTTTAAATAAATCAATAAATATTTCATAATGAGTAGATTATCATTCAACTAAGGTGACAGATTATATGTAAGCCAAACTGTTTGTCATTTGACCAATATTAATACAGATTGAGTCAGGATTATCTACTTAGTACAAATTTATAATCAGTGTAGTCAGTTGAGTAAAGAGTAATTAATTTATACTACATGAATTATAATCAATAGATTATAATCATACTGTATTGAACAAGAACACGGGTAGGGACAATCGAATGTATTTGGCACAAAATTACAGGACTTGTTAACAAATTCTAACCATCATATAGTAAATGCTTAATTTACAAAATGTCCATTAATTGTCTCATAATGACTCAGATTTCCTTTGTTCTTGCATTTTCATACAAATTACATTCTGTTTCCATTCTTTACTATTCGATCCTCTTGTCTCTCTGCTGACAGGCATTCTGTTCATGACTAACATCACATACTACTTATGTCGACATTAGTAGCACTCACCACAATACTATTCATAGAAGAGGAAAAACAAGACAATCAAATTGAATATACAATGACACCATGGTTACAGACACCAAACTATCGAATCATTTATGAAGCAAAGTTAATAGCTCATTTCTATATTTATTTATTTAAACACATAAATATAGGTACAAGAAGGCACCAAATATATATGCACCACACATATCACTTGATTTGTATGTGGGCTGGGATACTGTCCGGGTGCACAGGCCAAAACATTTGATTTACTTAGGGAGCCACAACAAAAGCCTTCGACCTGAAGATCTGATCCACAAGGCAGTGGAGCAACGTTAGAAGATCCAGTCCCATGGTAACCGGTGACCAAAAACGGGTTCATACGCCATTTGTTCCCTTAGGATACGGGAGCCTATGTGGACCATTGGTTTCGAATCAGGGTTCTCCAACTGCCTCAGGTGGAGTCTCTGTGTCCATAAAAGTTGTTAGAGCGCCAGACATTTGCTTTTCGTCCTCTGAATTTCGTAAACAGCAGTAATACCACGAGAAGGCAGTGAGTAGGACTTCTCTGGCAGTAGTTGTATGGATGTGGCCACTTGTGAGCATTTGGAGAGAGAGAGCTGAATTTCCCCACTTTCGGCCGTACCAGGGAATTCAAGGTCAATTTCTATATTAAGTATATGTTGATAATTTTGTTTAGACTGACAATGAAATCTTCAAAACTATAAAATTTACAGTAGACAAACATCTTTGAAAAGTGATAATAACTACCCATCGACTGTCAACTTAGTCCTGAAACAATAAACAATTGAACCTAATCCTGTATCAAATATAAATATTCAAGATGGCCCTCTTGAATATCTAGGCTACCTGTTCCTACCATCTGGATATTTCAACAAGTTATCAGTTTTATTTATTTTAATACATCATTATGCCCATTAATCACATAACCTATTCAGTTGCGTTTTTGAAAAGTTTGCCCCCAAATGCCCTGGTATGGCCGAGAGTGGCGAGGGTCCTCTCTCCCTCTCCAAATGCTCTCACATGGCCATGCGTATATAGCCTCTACTAGGGAAGTCCTACTCACTGCCTTCTCGTTACGGGGGTGTTGTATATAAAAATGAGAGGACGAAAAGCGAATGTCCGGCTCTTCAACCAGATCCCAAACCAATGGTGCACATGGGCTGGCTCCAGTATCCTGCGGGAACAAATGGCGTATAAACCAATCGTTGGTCACTGGCTACCATGGGACTACATCTCCTCACGATGCTCCACTGTCTTGTGGATCAGACATTCAGGTCGAAGGCTCGGGTTGTGGCCCCCTAAGAAAACCACCTGCTTCGGTTTGGGCACCCGGGAAGTATCACAGCCTCACACAAATCAATTGAGATTTGTGTGGCGCGTATCTATTTGGTGCCTCCTTGTACCAATACCTATGTGTTAAAATAAAATAATAATTTGAAAAGTTTGCAACCTTTTGTTGTACAATCTGCAAAAAACTACAGTCAGAGACATCGTGGTTATTAGAAATATGCATGAAATAGAATGTACATTACTTAGATATTGATTCCTGAAATCGATTACATCTAACTGGTGACCGCTCACTATTGATCGCCAGAATCGATCAAGAAATATGAAACAGAAACTCGCTGAACTACTCTGTGCTGAGAATTCTATATTATACCAAACATATAATATTGATTATAACCAATAATAATAGTAACTAAACAGTTTTAAATGGTAAGTTAAATCAATTAGATATATTGGTTCATAGTTCAACTGTAATAGTTAGATATTGAAAGATGCCCTTTATTAGTTAAGACATTACCTAAATATCCTATGGTAAATCTAGCCTAATATCTTAGTGAAAATTATTAATATTAAAGAACGAGTATGCATATATATGTATATATTAATCTGAGTTAGACAACAACAGTAATCATCTGATTCTTAGTTACCTAATCAAGTGATAGGTTGAACTTGTATATAAGAAACATGAATATGAGTATTGGACCCAGACTACAGATCAAGATAACAGTAGATTAAAAAAAAAGAACGGTCAAGTTGCTTTATTTTGTAATCTATTTAATGATTGAACCTATTTTCATTATTTAAAAAAAAAACTTTTATTACTGTGATGTGTGCTACTGATATCGATAGATATTAGTAGTATGTTTTTGATTGAGAGCATGAACTGGTTGATGTTAGACCACTATTGAAAACCTGGAAGCACCGGATGACCGTTTCGTCCTATTGTGAGACTCCTCAACAGTGCGCATTCACGATCCCGTTCGCAGGATTCAAACTCAGGGCCTTCAGTCTCGCAGGCGAACGCTAAACCTGTAGACCACTGAGCCGGCTTCCAAATGTGTTAACGTCTAACCTCAACTAATCCACGAAATCGCGCAACCATCTTCTATTGTACTGAGGTAGATACCTGTCTCTACTCGACACTAGTCACGACTTCTCACTAGAACTCCGAGAATTTCCTCACGAATCTAGTCACTAGTGAGCACATGATTAAATAGTGGGTGCGCACTGCTGATGAGCCTCATAATGGAACGAAACGGTCATTCAGTGCTTCCAAGTTTTCAATGATGGTCTAATATCAATCAGTTCATGATCTCAATCAACATTTTAATAATCTTCACAACCCTATACTGATTAGTAAGTAGTATATATCATCAATTAAAACTAAAATACCTGATAGCAGAAGATTAAGAAGATCGAAGAGAAGAGGATAAGAACAGAGAATGATTGATGTGGAAACGAAAAAACAATGAAATTTGAGACAATTGATTGACATTTTGTAAATCAAGTATGATTCTCAAATTTTATTAAAAGATTCTGTCATGTTCTTATTCAAATACATTTAGTTCTCCCCCCCCCACTGATGTTCTTATTCATTGCATAACCACTAATTGTTTTGTTACAAATTTACATTTATTTGAAAATTCCATTATGTAATGCGTTTTCGTTTTGTTTTGTTTTTTTATTTTACAAACAACATGAATTTCCAATTTAGTCTACTTTATTCAAACTGAAGCTTCTTTCTTTCTTTCTTTCCACATAAAGATCCTGTCTGAATCCCACATAGGGTAATTCATGTTAGATTAAGTAACTATATACTGTATACTGTATAAATCTTATTATGTGATTAATTTTAGTGTATAATTTTCTATTAACCTGATAGATACTGGTTACAATTCAGTGATTAGATAATATAATTTCAATTCTGAGCCCAAATACCTTATTAAATAGTGTCAACGATCATGAAACCTATCCTAAGTAAAGTACCTTACAACCATAAAGTTGCATTTTAACATCAGCTTATCTGAGGAAGAGAAATTGATACTGTAATGTTTTCGGAGGGGGGGGCGAGGTGGATTTTAATCAGATCATAGTTTATCTCGAAGCCTCATAGTTAGGCAGATATTCAATTATTGACGAACTACTATGAGGAGCGAATTATTTACCTAACTGAAGTCTTTTGAAATGTAACATTATCTAGATCACTTCAATATTATATACATTATATTACATTCATTCTGGCCTGATTCCAAGATTTGTTATGTATTCTTATCCCCTTTAATCTTAATTAGCTTATGGAGATAAACATTGGAAAGTATTTGATTATGACTGAATACAAATATAGCATTACAACAAATAGTACAACTTATTGTTCTACTAGTTAAACCTCAAGTATCCACAGATTAGATAGCTATTTTATTCTGGCATATGATTCTTCAATAGTGAGTAACAAAGACACTACCAAGGATCAAACATAGGTTATTTATAAACCAAGGAGTTGAAAGGCATTGAGATATATTATTCACTTCAATTATTTATCAAAATGATATTATATCTTTTATTACGATTGCTTTCCAGATGTCAAACTTCTGTTTTACCAAAAACCTCCCTTATTCATGGTTCCTGACTGGAATTGTAAGAGTAAATTAAAAACTTTCCATTTCATACTGATTTCCTACTGTCTCAATAGTTGAAATCATGAGTCGATTGAAGCTAGACCACCATGGAAAACCTGGAAGCACTGGACGTCCGCTTCGTCCTATTGTGGGACTCGTCAGTGGCAGTGCACATCCACGATCCCGCTCCCCTCGAGATTCGAACCTAGGACCTAAGAGTCTCGCACGCCAGCGCTTAACCACTAGACCACTGAGCCGGCCGGAATCCAATAATGTTAATGTCTAACTTCAACCAATCCACGAAATTGCTCCACCGTACACCATTGTCTTCAGTGAGCTGATATCTCACAGCAGACCTGGTCGTCTGACAGACCTATTTTCTGACAATTAATATTCATCATATTATTCAAACAACAGACACTTTGACAGTATAAATGGTTTAGGAAACTCAGGAGTATGTTCTGACGTGGGAATTCAGTGAGATCATCAACTGGATGCTAATTATTCTCAATGGCATAAATGTATTACTTCTTCGTCTTCGATTAGATATTGCGTTTTTAAATAATCTTACATAAGTTCATCCTTTTCAGTTTCTATGCTTGACTTCTTCTATCACTTCTACTATTCTGACGCTTGATATAATAATCTCATCTTACTGTGCATATATATTTTGGTAACTTGAACTAATAAATACATTCACCAAGTTCTATTTAATCATAATAATTCATTAGCTGAACTCAATTTTCTACTTTTCAACTCAAACTACTTATTTTAATTACAGTAGATAAATTATAAATGGAAAAAAAATAATTAAAAGTTAGTCAACTTTTCAAGAAAACAGAACATGAAATTAATTTATAATTCATAATTAATACATGAAACTTTTCAGTTAATGTTTTCTTTCTTTACATATATAAGTAGATCTTTATCAGAAATCTAATAAAAGATTGTTTAGAAAAATTAAAGTACAATAAGAGAAAAATGAATGAAGTAAGAATGTATAATATCTATGGAACTAAATAGTTTTCATTTCAATGAACTTTATATTCTACTTCAAGAATTCATTGAATACCTTCCATACAAATAGGTCTACCGATAACATTCTTGTTCCTTTTTATGAACATGATCTTTCCCTTTTTTTTCCGAGAAAATATGAAAATGAATAAGAATCTTGACAATAAAATGATAATAATAATAATAATAATGATTAAACGAAATGCAAGAAAATGTTTTGTATTATCTCTTGTCAATGGTCATCATTATTGTCACCGTCTTCATTATCATTGTCATCACCAGCATCAGCATCATCATCATCATGATGAACTTGACTAATTCAAGAAGGTATATTCGATTTTCTTCGTTTCTCTTCATACCATAACCAATTGATTAATGAAATAATAAGTACTAATATTAATATGACTGTATTCATTAAAGTTAATGAATACCATGGATTATTATATGAAAAATAATTCTATAAAAAAAGAATAAAAACAAACAAAAAAACATTTATTGATTACGAATATTAAAACAATCGGTAAATCGATTTTTTTTATTAAAAAAAAAGGGGTGGTGTTCAAGCATATTGATTGTAAAGTAGTTATAGACCAATGATAAGATGGTATGGCTATGTGATATAATAATTACAAGTTAGTTAAAATGAAACATTTAAACTATTGGTTACTGGTTAAGTACTCTAAAGGTTAAGTTATTGTTATAAGACTAAAACGTTCCGGATTTTATCGCTAGAATGGTCATGGATATACACTGTAATAATGACTCATATTTGAATGAAACAACTGTCGAATACTTTCTGATTTCCAACATCCGTTTAACTGAAATTAGTCTGTAATGATGACTATAGAATTCAATAATACCCATAGACTACCTATAGTATCAAAAAAAAACCCTGGGAAATAAGGCACTTCTTCATTCATCACATAATGACTCTTAGATTTCAGCATGAGATTCATTTGTGTATATGACTAAACACCGCTTTGGCATTATAGCAGATGTTGATTTGTGATATAAATCTTAACTCTAATTCCCAACCCTAACTTCTAACTCAAAATGCCTATTCTGAGTTCTAACACTATTTTATAGTTTTCTTTTTGTATAGACTTTAGTAGGTAGGTGTTGAGGTATTCAGAAAATACCCCAGAGATTATCTTATGCTATTCCTGAATGAGAAATGGTGTCATTTCCCCATTGGTCAATATTCTTCCAACGTGTCATTTTCCCGTTGGTCAATATTTATTTGTGTCATTTCCTGGAGGTCAAATCTTGTACAAATGTTACTTTCTATTTTATGGTACGATGTAGTCTGTTTGTTTGGTATATAAACAGAGTATGTTTGAAATATAATGATTCATATCACAGAGGCTGAGACTTGCGTTCTGGATTCCACTGGCTGGGCTAGACAGGGAAGCAGGGCCCATCAGAACTCTAGGCTGTTCTTACGTGTTTACCCGTCTTTGGTCCGATCAATAATTCTCTCTCTCTCTCTCATAGTTATAACAGTAAGTGATGAATTTTCTCAAAATCATTTGGATGTTGGTTAAATATTGTTTAAAAACTATAATCTCATTTATGTAAGTTATAAGTTTACATAAACTAAAGGTAATTTGTCATTTTTCATCAGTGATACATTGGATCAATTAAAATTCGTTCAAATGATCAATTCATATGATTGGCCAATATGGGGTTTGTACTTCTAAGGAATAGGATACACAATTCATAGCTTAATTAATTGAAATACAAAGACATTGTGGTATGTACTACTGATGTTTTCAGATATAGGTAGTATGTATCATTAAAAGGAAGTGAAAGGCCTGCTAACAGAAGATTAAGAAGATCAAAGAGATGAGAATGAAAACAAAGAATGATTGGTGTGGAAATGAAGAGACAGTAACGTCTGAGACGATTGGTTGACATTTTGCAAATAAACAATTTAATGTATTGTTCACAGATTTGAGTAAGTCATTTTCTAGTGAACAAAAAAACACCAATGGGGACAATCAAATGTATTTGACAAATTATAACACTTGTTAATAAAATCTAACAACCATATAGTAAATTGTTAATTTGCAAAATATTAATCCATCATATCAAACTGGATTGTTTTTGTTGCAAACATCAATTGATTGTCTGACATTTCATTGTTCATGAGTTTCCATACAAATTCCATTGTGTTCCTGCTCTTCCTTTCTTGGTCTTCCCCCATCTTCTGCTGCCAGACATTACGTTGAAAACTCGCGTCATATACTACTTATTTCTACATAAGTAGCACACATCACAATTCTATAATTTTATATTCGAAAACATTAGCTTGACCCTACTTGTGTTCTCGTTCACTACAATATATAAAAATCGATAAATGTATATTCATTCAATATTTAGTTTAGCCAATGAACATCCTTATCACTCTCAGTCGTTTTTACTTCAGTAGCTTCTTGGATCGGTGAAAAAGATCATGTATCAGAACCAAAGTCCAGCATTTAACATAGAAACATGGCCTTCTGTCTTGTCTGCCTAATGGTTTTAGTTTTCTACGGATTATGTAATGAATATTTTAAAAAAGTTAATAGATTTCTGGATCAGGAATATTTGAATCAGAATAATTGACCTGGTATCTCCTGGTTGCCTGTAGAATAAACTTTCTACGTCTTACTAAGACTTCTTGATCGAGTTAGCTGAATCGGGAACAACGGACAAGAATAGTCTATCGAGATTCTGAATCCCTTGATCCTTCGTTCCGTTCCAAGTGAGACGAATCAGTAGTGGCATTCAAGCTTAACGAACCTAACAAGAATGTCATTTATTACTTATCCCATGAAAGTTATTCATTATACAGAATTGATCTGAACTAAAAGAAACAAAGTAATCAGTGAAGGGCTTTTGTGGATATTATAGTAATTTAATCGTTAAATTCATGAATCAATTGGAGCTGGACCATGATGGAAAACCTGGAAGCACTGGATGGTCGTTTCGTCTGAGCATGGGACTACCTCATCAGTGCGCATTCATGATCCCACCTCATGAGATTCTAACAAAGAACCCATCAGTCTTGCACGCGAGCGCTTAACTACTAGACTATTGAGTCAGTCGGCACCCGACAGTGTTAATGTCTAACTTCAATCAATCCACGGAATCGCGTCACCGTTAAATCTGATAAGTCTTGGGTTCGAATCTCGCTAGGCACGATCATGGATGCGCACTGTTGAGGCAGTCTCATAATATGAAGAAACGATCATCCAATACTTCCAAGTTTCCCAATGATGGTCTAGCTTCAATTGACTCATGAATTCAACTACTGATTATATTCTAAGCTTACACAAAAAAACACTTAGCCTCTTCTTTAATTTAACATCTAAGAAAGAAATATGATACATTTAATTTGACATCGTCATTTTAGTTTACCTAACAAAGAATAAATTTAATTTACAAGAACATAAGTAGATGGCTGAGTTCGTTCCTTTTGTTGTTGTTGTTGTTGTTCATTTCATGTGATTCGATTCAGGCAATATAAGTATTAATGTCTAGATAGAGATTAAAAGAAACTATACGTTAAATTGATAGTATAATCATGATTAACATATCATATAGGGTTGATATAGAGCTTAATAATATAGCCAAATCATTCCATCGATCATTTTACTTCAACAATGAACATTCATTATTCCTAATATTTTTTCTAACCCTGTACCCTCCCCTTCCCCCTCCTCACACACACAACTAAGTCTCAATGAAATAAAAACAAAACGTTTGAATGAGGTTAGTAATTATTACACATAAATAAATTGATAATACCCATAGGATTATCACTAGGGGGAGGGGGGAACAACATATCAATGTAGTGATGACTTAATAATTAAAAAAAATGTCTTTAACCTTAAAAGAAATAATAAACATATGATATATGAATAGTTCAGTCGGTAATATGTATAACTAATATTGCCTAGAATAAATAATAAAATAATATCAGAAGGGGTTTTGTGGAGATTGTAGTAATTTCAATAGTTAAGATCATGAGTCAATAGAAGCTAGACCACCATGGAAAACATGGAAGTACTGGACGGCCGTATCGTCTTATTGTGGGACTCCTCAGCAGTGAGCATCTACGATCCCGCCTCATGAGATTCGAGCCAAGGACTTATTAGTCTAGCGTACGAGCGCTTAACCACTAGATCACTGAGCTGACCAGCATCCAACGGTGTTAATATCTAACTTGAACTAATTCACGAAATTGAGCGACACATCCACCATTGTCTTCAGTGAGTTACTATCTCACAACAGACCTGATTGAACTCCACCGGCTCAGTGGTCTAGTGGTTAAATGCTCGCATGCGAGACTGTTAGGTCCTAGGTTCGAATATCGAGGGGAGCGGGATCGTGGATGTGCACTGCCGCTGAGGAGTCCCACAATAGGACGAAGCGGCCGTCCAGTGCTTCCAGGTATTCCATGTTGGTCTAGCTTCAACTGACTCATGCTCTTAACTATTGAAATAAAATAATAAACAAGACATATCATTATGTATGTGTACAAGTCTGTAGGGTATAGAAGTAAACTCATCCAGTACAGATTCAATCATAAGTTGATTTATCATTTGTAATCTAGAAACTACGGTAATACAATGAACAGGTCGGAATCAATAAGAAGATTTGAACTTCTCCTATGATTGGGCTGTTCTATCCCATATACACACGAACAAATACGGATGAAGAAAACTATTGTAACAGAAGCCTCTGTTTGCATCAGTAGGCCTCAACATACACAAGAGGATAAAGCAAGATCGTCAAATACAACACGGAGAACACCAACCTAATCACACTTGATGGAAAAGTTCTGGAAGATATGAAATATTTCACGTACCTGGGAAGCATAATCGATGGACGTGGAGGATCGGATGAGGACGTAAACGTAAGGATTGGCAAAATAAGGACATCATTCCTACAGTTAAAGAACATATGGAACTAAAAACAACCTTCAACCAATATCAAAGTCAGAATCTTCAATACCAACGTCAAGGCAGTTCTACTGTACGGAGCTGAAACTTGGAAAACTACTAGAACCATTATCAAGAAGGTACAAGTATTTATAAATAGTTGGCCAGATACTATTAAGAACAGCCTACTGTGGGAGAGAACAAACCAGCTTCCACCTGAAGAGGAAACTAGGAAAGACGATGGAAACGGACAGGACGTACATTAGGCAAATCATCAAACTGCATCACGAGGCAATCCCTAACTTGGAATCCTGAAGGGAAGAAGAAAATAGAAAGGCCAAAGTACATATTACATCGGGAAATAGAAGAAGATATGAAAAGGATAAATAACAACTGGAAAGAACTGGGAAGGTTTGCCCAGGACAATGTTGGATGGAGAATGCTGGTGAGCGGCTTATGCTCCTGGACGAGGGGCAATAAACGTAAGTAAGTAAATCATTATATTAGTCTGCCTTCCCTATGTTGTAAATTTACTACTGAACAGATTTTCATTTACATATGAGAATACACACATACCTTTCAATAGATTTCATGACATACATTTGTTTGTACATATAGGGAGAGAGCGAAAGAGAGAGTGTGTGTGTGAGGCTCTAATGTCTTTTAAATATTTTTTTCCAGAGATTAAACTTTACCAATAATTGACATGAACAACAAACCTATTAAAAAAAATACGGACTATTTTAAGTAGATATTTTATTCTCCTTGGAAACTTCTCAATGTTACTTTGGTATGTGTTACTGATGTCAACAAATATAAGTAGTATGTAACATGACACAAAAGTGAAATGCCTAGCGGCAGAAAGTTAAGAAGATTAAAGAGAAGAGGACGAGAACAAAGAATGATTAATGTGGATACAAAGAACAATAAAGTCTGAAATGATTGTTTTACATTTTGCAAATGAACTATTTATTGTTTGGTTTTTAGTTTTGTCTAAGTGATTCTGTTCAATATGGATAAACAACCTGTTTATCCACACTTTCATTATGTCATATTAGCCTGATTGTAAGTTTTCATTCATTGAACTTTCTAACTATTGATAACTCTCTTAGCATTCATAAATTACAGTTTGGTTAATTGCATATCTCAATAGTTGAAATCCTGAGTCATTTGAAGCTAGACCACCATGGAAAACCTGGAAGCACTAGACGGCCGTTTCGTCCGAGTATGGGACTACCTCAGCAGTGCACATCCACGATCCTGCCTCACGAGATTCGAACCCAGAGCCTATCAGTTCCTTAAGCAAGAGCTTAACCACTACACCATACAACAGTTTTAATGCATAAATTGAACTAATCTACAAAATTGAGCGACACATCCACCATTGTCTTTAGTGAGTTATTATCTCACAACAGACCCATTTAAACTTCACTGATCACACGTTCTCACAAAGACTCCAGGAAATTCCTCTTAGAAACCATCACTAGTGAGCATATAAAGATTATAATGAGAGAGGAGTTTTATGGATATTATAGTAATTTAATAGTTGAATTCATGAGTCAATTGAAACTAGACTCCTATAGAAAACCTGGAATCACTGAACGACCATTTCATCCTAGTATAGGACTACCACAACAATGCGCATTCAAGATTTCGCCCCGTACGCTAGCGCTTAACTACTAGACCACTTAACCAGCCAACTAGTTATACAAATGTTGTGAATGCACACTACCACTGAGGAGTCCCACAATAGAATGAAACGATCGTCCAATGCTTTCAGGTTTTCTATGATGATCTAGCTTCAATCGACTCATGATCTCAACTGTTTTAATATTATTCATTTAATACTTTATAAAATTGAATTAAATTTACCTCATTTATTTTATTAGATGTATTTGTTGTTGTAATGAATGAATCAATTAAATTTCTATTTGATTTCAATATAACAGGTGAACTTTTTAATTTTCTTTGTTTTAATTTATTACTATTAATTATATTAGTAGTTAGAATAGAATTTGTATATTCATTTAAATATGTCTTTGGTAAATATTCATATAATGTATTCGGCCAACTTATACAACGACGATGTTTATTCAACAATAATTTATCTTCTTTTATATTAAAAGAATTTAATGGATAGGATTTCATTGAATATAGATTGATTTCATTTGGTTGTATTGTATTACATAACCATTTCTCATTATTATTAGTAGTAGTAGTATTAGTAGTAGTAGTATTAGTATTAATAGTATTGGTACTATTAGTAGTACTATAATCAATATTCATAGTATTACTACTATTATTATCATTAGTAGTAGTATTATTACTATTTGTAAAAATGAAATTTTTAACATCCATATCAGTAGTCAATCTCTTTCTTATTAATATGGTTTTATCTAATGGAATAGTAGAATATTTCATTATATTATGATTTATATTAAATGGAGATAATGAACAATTTGATACAAATAATTGTTGACATGGTGATTGACGTTGTTGTTGTTGTTGTTGTTCCTGTTGTTGCTGCTGCTGTTGTTGTTGTTGCTGGTGGTGGTGGTAGTGGTGTCGTTGTTGTTGTTGTTGTTGCTGCTGCTGATGGTGATGGTGATGATGATGATGATGATAAATATGTTGAAATTGTTTACTAGTTAAACTACGTGATATATAATTTGGATATGTTGATTGTAAAAATTGTTTAGGAAATTGTTTTAATGATCCTGTATACATTGAAGTTCTTAAAGAAAATGGATTCATTTCTTGACTCCATAATATATTAGCATTTGTTAATGGAGTAGAAACATATTTACTAGGACAAATAGAATTTGTATATACCGTAGATAATGTTGGTGTAGATAAGGATAATGATGATGCTGTTGTTGTTGTCGTTGTTGATGACGATGATGATGATGATGAGGAGGAGGAAGAGGAGGAGGCGGAGGATGATGACGATGATGATGATGATAATGTCAATGATGAGGTTGATGGTGAAGATGATGGTCGAAATTGTTTATTATCTGTAATTGTTCTATTCATTATATAACGATTATGATTATCTAAATTTGTTTGTTTTATTATATTAATTTCACTGGGATTTATATACGTGGAATTTTGTATTCCACACAAAATTCTTTGTGATGGTTTTATATATTCAACAGATGTTAATCTTTCATCATTCATTGAATTGATATCTTCATCTGTTTGATAAATATGTTCATTATGTATAAAAGTAGGTGAAGATGAAATTTTACTGGTAGGTATTTGATGTAAATTTTGATAGCAGTTAGAATTACGTATTGTGTATGATTTTGTTTGAGATTGTGTTGAACGATCATTCATTATAATTCGTTTACCTTCAGGTAATTTTTGATTTGGCAACTAGAATGAACAGAAAAGAATATCTTCATTAATAGAGAGTAAAGTTTCTAGAACACTGGTTTGACATTATGTACTTACTTACTTATGCCTGTTACTCCTCGTGGAGAAGCATAGGCCTCCCACCAGCACTTTCCATCCAATCCTGTACTGGAAAATCCTTTCTAGCTCTTTCCAGTTGTGATTAATCTTTTTCATATCTGCTTCTATTTTCCCTAAATGCCCTGATACGGCCGAGAGTGTGGATAGTCCGCTCTCCCTCTTGAAATGCTTTCACATGACCACGCGTATATAGCCTCTGCCAGGGAAGTCCTACTCATTGCTTTCTCGTTGCGGGGGTGTTGTCTACGAAAATGAGAGGACGAAAAGCGAATGTCCGGCGATTTAACCGGATTCGAAACCAATGTTGCACATGGGCTGGCTTCAGTATCCTGTGGGAATAAATGTCGTATGAACCAATTTCTTGGTCACTGGCTTCCATGGGACTGCATCTCCTCACGATGCTCCACTGCCTTGTGGATCAGATCTTCAGGTCGAAGGCTCGGGTTGTGGCCCCCTAAGAAAACCACCTGCTTCGGTTTTGCCACTCGAGCAGTATCACAGCTCTCACACATATCAAGTGAGATTTGTGTGGTGCATATGTATTTAATGCCTCCTTGTGCCAATATCTGTGTTAAAATAAATAAATAATCTATTTCTCGATGTAATTTGTTCTTTGGCCTTGTTCTTTTCCGTTTCCGTTCAGAATTCTAAGTTAGGGTATTCGTTTGACATATGGAATTTTAATTCAGTTGAAGAATTTAATCTACTAACATTGTGTTTACAAGCTATTTACAATGAAAGTAATCATGTATTCACTAGTGACTAATTATAAGAAATAATTTGAAGAGGTCTAGTTAAAAGCAGTAATCAGTGAGTTCCAGCTACATCAAATGTAAGTCGGTTACCTACTTATGAGACTGGCAGAAAGTTTTGCAATATCGCACATTAATTGAAGTTATAAATGTAAATCGCTGAACCCTTACTGAATAACCTAAGGACTAAGCCCTCACCTGTCGTTTTTAGGTTCGATCCCCGAGAAGGTCTTGGGCAGATATATGTGGCTTATGAGTTCTATATTATGACTAAAAAGCTGTGCAGTGCTTTCTAGTTTTCAATGATTGTCTAATTAAGTTCAGTTTGCTCTACATATTACGAAATACATCCCTTACTTTAATCCAAGTAATCTGAGAGAAACACTAGATCATATAAACAAAGTTTAACTGAAGGTCTCATGCTTCAACATGTAATAATTTTCACATAGAAGGCACATACGAAACGATACACGAATTTTAAGTGTCTAGTCTATTGTGCTAATTGATCACAATTCTGTTAACCTATCGTTTCTATCAGTTATGTTCGTTTAACTAAGTATAGTCTAGTGATTTACTCTAGTGATCGAATGAATTCGACCAGTACTTAGGGAAATCAAACAAGTATAACACTGGCAATGACATTGAGTGATGCCTGTAAACACTCTTGTTATACAGGAGACCATTCTCTGATTGAGTAAATTCTCTGTAGAACAGAACAATAAAGGTTGACAACAAAGTTTTCTTTGATAAAAGCCCGAATCTTACGATATTGAGGTTTTATCTTCTCGCCGGCTTACAGTGAATAAACACTTTTACAGAGTTTATTGTTACGTAATCACTATACGTTTAATGAGAAGTTATTTTTTTTTCCAACTCAATAATGTATATATACATATCCATATTCTGACAGTGCCTTGGCGATAGCAACAAATCCTCATGCTATGAATAAACCCATCAGTGACTGGATTCTACCAATTCAAATAATACTCAGTATACTAGACAAACATAGCATTATTCAACCATCACTCAATAATTAATTATTGTATTTATCCAGTATTGAGATGGTAAAGATTTGTAACTCAGATGGATTATTTTGATGGAGTTTTGTTTTCTGAACTGAATGATTCTTCTGAATAACATCATCAGCATAAACCTCAGGTAGAAGTTTAGTTGAACAACGAAAGTTCCATCATCAAACCATCTATCTCAAAGAACAAAACTCTAACAAAAAGTATCCAGTAGTTTATTGTTGGTACTTACCGATGATTTGTATCGTTCCAAGGAATGATGATGACCTCTTGGAACTATAGATTGTTTATATAAAGTTGCATTACTTTCATAAACATTATCTTCATCATCTATATCATCAGTAGGATGAATAATAACCGGACCTACATTTTCATTAACATCATCATCATTATTATCATCACCATCATCATCATCATCATCATCATCATGATGTCTGTCACTAGTAGCGTAAACTGTCGGTATCTGATATTGATTAACATCATATAAATTTGAATTATCCCATTGTTTATTATCTAACTGATTTATATTACGTAATAAATATAATTTCTTTATATCCATTGGATATTCTTTTATTTCGATAGGATCAGATTGATTTATTGAATGATGATTATGATGATGATGATAATAATAATAAGGTGTTGATTGAATTGTTGCTGAACTATATTCTGACTTTTCACTGTTACTTTCATCAATATCTGGTACAATATCATCCATAGTATCTAATTGATATGAATGACGATGATGATGATGATGATTATATTTTGTTATTGATTGTAATGAAGATAATTGATGTTGTGGTATATTCATCAATTGTGAATGTATTTTTAATTGTTTGAATTGAAGATTATCATTGTCATTTTGTTTATTATCCAACTTTGAATAAACTGTATACTTCTCTGGTATCCAATAAGATTTTAATTTATTCGATACTTCAGTATGATAAGAACTGTAATATATAGAAGGAATATAGATGTATATTTAATTAAGTATATCTATAGGGTATTTATAGATAAATGTTCATTTTATAGGAATTTACTAATATCTTACTTCTGAAGATATAGTGAACTAGAACAGTAGTGAGGACAATCTAAGGATTGAGTAACTAATACTACTGCTGCTGCTGCTGCTGTTTCTGCTGCTAAAGAGCCTGCTACCTATCCGTATAGAAAGTTATCAATAGGTTTGTAGGTAATAGGTAAGCTGAATATTTTGTTATATGAAATGAGGAGACTGTTGATTTTATGCAGCTACGAAAGAATCACTTCAAAAGTAAGAAACTCAACACTAGTGAACGTAACTGATTGGATTTGAACAGGAATATCACGTTTCCCTCTTCCTTGCTTATGCAACTGACGACTTGTATAAGATCTTGATACTTGTTCGTTCTGGAAACTTTGATTGGTTCCATTTGTAGCTGAAAATCTAAAGGTTGTACAACTGCCATAGCAGTAAAACCACTGACACAGACAGCAAGAAGGTACTCATTTTTCGATAAACCAGTTTCTCTATTCTGTACTTGCACTATCACTCTGAGATTTTTGTATACTTGACATTTTCAACTAAGTTTACGGTGGCAACTGCGTTGATTGTTCAGCAACGCGTGACTCCAGTTCAATTACGAAGCTTTACCACCAGAACACTCCACTTGACGTCACCTCTTCGCACCGGACTGTCCCAACCGGCAACTTAGCTCCAGGTTCGCAACGGCGTCACAGAACATCATACTTCCCCACCTGGTTGGCAGCGACATCAAGATCCTCGAGTAAGGCTTTGAAAACACTGCGAAACATTTTATCCAATCTGCGTTCACTAGACGTTTTGCCAGAAATATTCTAGAAAGTGAAAAATCATGTGTCGAGTTTCTGATTTGATGGTTACTTATACTGCTATGATGTTTAGTAGTATACCACAATTTTCCGGGAACTCAAGGATATCTAAAATATTATAAAAACGTTAGATTTTCTGTACATAAAGGAACCTTTGGAGTGAAGCATTTCTTCCATATCTCATGCCTTTTTTCTTGTGTTTAAGTTGCTGTGTAGATCTAACCTGGGGTGGGGGCTTACTACAAGAGATTAGGAACTGAATCTAGCGTTCAATTCGAAGACTTATGAAAAATCGAAATGTATTAGATAGTTACTTCGTACTTATTCCTAATATTTTGAAATAATAGAGAAGATTCGTAATTCAGATGAATGATCTACAGTTCATGTTGTATATTTTGAGCTAGTTGGTTTATGAATTATTTTTAAAGTCATTCCACCATATCTGTATAAAGTATGAATTGTCCAGAATGAAGATGGAACTTTCATAATTAAAACAGCTGACTCAAAGAAGAAACTTACCTACTTACTCCTATTACTCCCAATGGAGTATAGGCCGCCAACCAGCACTCTCCAACTCCACCTGGAGCTCCTTTGGGGCTACTGCTGGTCCCAAGCCCGGATAAAGGAGGAGGGTTGGGCCTGAGGTTACGACCTCATCCCGTAAAAACTAACTCACTGAAGAAACGCTAACCAGAAAAAATAATTCAAACCATTTAAACTCTGCCTTGGGAGTTAGAAGTTTTTCATTTAGAAGAGTTATGACACATCATGGTGAAAGCCGAGTTCCTTCGGATGTCAAGAGGCTGATGCCCGTTCTTACAACCAGAGCGACCATTAAAGAAGAAAACACACAATATTTCGATTACTCTTTAGAAATCTTCACTGACAAGCTAAAATAAACGATCCAACTCACAACTATCAATATGATATGTTACATAAGTTATCTATTCTCTTGCAATATTGTAGTGAGTATAAGTAGGAACAATCGAATGTATTCGAATAGAAAATTGCAGAATCACTTGATAAAATCTAAGAAACAGACAGTAAATACTTTATTCGAAAAATGTCAAGCAATCGTCTCAGACTTTACTGTACCTTCATTTCCATATCAATCATTCTCTCTTCTCATTCTCTTTCCTTTAATCTCCTTAACCTTCTAATGCCATGCATTTCACTTTCCATTGATGATACATAGTACATATATCAGTTCCTATAAAATGAAACTGAAAACTCTGTTAAAATTCCAGGTTTTCCATGGTGGTCTAGCCTCAAATGACTCACGATTTTAACCATTGAAATTATTAAAATCTCCACAAAACCCCTCCTGATAATAATCATCTGCTCACTAGTGACTGACGTCTAGAGGCATTTCCTGGAGTTCTATTGAAAGGCTGTGACCAGTGGAATTCAACCAGGTCTGTTGTGAGATATCGGCTCGGTGAAGACAGTGTTGTACAGCGGCTCAATTTCGTGGATTAGTTGCAGTTAGACATTATCACCGTTGGTTGACTGCTCAGTGGTCTAGTAGGTTAAGCGTTTGCGTGCGAGACTGAAGGCCCTGAGTTCGAATCCCGCGAGCGGGATCGTCGATGCGCACTGCCACTGAGGAGTCCAACAATAGGACTTAACGGCGGTCCAGGTTTTCAATGGTAGTCTAACATCAATCGGTTCATGATCCCAATCAAAAACTAATAATATAAGCTACAAATATGTTATAAATAACTAAGCGTTTAAATTTCTCCTCTCTCTCTACTGCTCTCTTTTTCTCTCTCTCGCTCTCTGTCAGAGAAAATTATGCAAAAATTTACAAATGTAAATGAAGTGTGTGTGTGTGTGTTTGTCTTAAGATGATCATTTTAGGCAACTACATCTTATGGTTTCTCCTTTGAGACATCTATCTATTTGTCTGTCTATCTTTCATTATATTTTTATGTTAGTTTCCTTCATATACTTGAGTTGGGATTGTTAACATATATGTGAGTGTGTGTATTTTAATATATTGGAATGTATGTATATGTACAATGTATAGCTGTACTTCGAATAGAATAGAAAGATTAAATTAAATCTAAAGGTGTTTCAATTTATTTATTCTTATTTCTGAATGTTCTTAATTCATTGTTTATTCCCTTGAGACTTTAGGTATTACTAAACAAACATACACATCCAATTATATGTATACATATATAGATATTCACTTGGTAGTATTTGCTTGTAACATCCTATTGTAGTTTAGGTCTGAAATTGATCAATCTCTTGTTGGCATATATGCATACTGAGCGTATTGCCTCGATATTGAATTGATTCATAAGTATTATAAGTAAAGATGGATAGTGGTTAGAAGTGGAATCCAATTTGACGCACGTTTTGTGGATAATGCAATGACGTTTGAACCGAAAGGTACTAGATTCCAGTCCCGGAGTGAACATCAACTCTGAGATGCAGGTAAATCCAGCTGACAAGTTCCAACTAGGACGAAACTCGCGTCCAGGATTCCACTGCTAGTTAACACCGATCTTTGCCTATATATATATATATATATATATATATATATATATATATATATATATATATATATATATATATATATATATATATATATATATATTAACCAGAGTTGGATAGTGGCTAATAATGGAATTTATCCGAACTGGAATTCATTGTGTTTTGTTTCAAACACCGACATATTATCCATAACCGCCTAAAAATACTTATGACTGGAAGGTAGTATCAAAACTATCTGCTTAAAATGCACATATCCCAAAAGAGACTGATCAATTAACAGTCCTTAACATCAGCATCTGGAAAAGAAATGATAATTTTTAAACACAAGCTAATATGTACACTAATTACTGATTCCAGTAACAATACCGATTATTTTACATAACTTTATATTACTTTTTAATATGTGTATTATCTGCCATTTAACTAAATTCATTCTGTCCCAGCTAACATCATTAGCCATTTTTATACTACTAACTAAAATCATTCAAAGTATTATCAATGTTTTATAAGTGATAGATTTTCAATAGTTGAGATTATAAGTCAATTGAAGTTAGACTACCATGGAATACCTGGAAGCACTGGACGGCCGTTTCGTCTTAGTATTGAACTCCTCAACACTGAGCATCTACGATCCGGTTTCGTGAAATTTCAACCCAGGACCTATTGGTCACACGAGCAAGCGCTTAACCACTAGACCACTGAGTCGACCAGCATCCAATGGTATTAATGTCTAAATTCAACCAATCCCCTACTCGAAAAAGTAGGGGATGTGAAGGAAGCTTTAATTTGAAGGCAGCTTATGTATGAAAAATAAATGTATTTATGTGTGACCTCAGGAGACTTGAGAAACTTCTGGAAGGTAAGATAAAATTTGCATTACAATTAGCAAGTTGTTCAATCGGATAACAAGAATGCAAGTTATCATTTAGGAAGCCTTAAGAGAACGTTAATTTGTCAAAGATTCTTCAGCATTTTATTAGTTTTTAATACCATTTTTAAGGAATTTTTGAAAGCTCCTAGCAGTTATATTTTTTCGTGTTTTATTTTACAGAAATGTCTCATTGTAAACTCTTGCCCCCAAATGCTCTGATATGGTCAAGAGTGGAGAAAGTCAGCTTTCTCTTTCTAAATGCTCTCACATAGCTATGCGTATACAGCCACTACCAGGGAAGTCCTACTCATTACCTTCTCGTGCCACGGGTGTTGTTTACGGAATCGATAAGACGAAAAGCGAATGTTCGGCATTCTATTCAGGTTGGTGGATATGGAGAGTTCATCTAATGCAGTTGGAAAACCCTGATTCCAAATCAATGGTGTACATGGTCTCCAAGATACTAAGGAAACAAATGACCTATGAACCAATTGTTGGTCATCGGCTACCATGGGACTGCATCTCATGACGTTGTAGATTAAACCTTTGGATCAAATCTCCGGATATGGCCCCCTAAGAAAACCACCTGCTACAGTTTAGGCAAAAGAAATTCTATTAATTTATGAAATCTTATCTAGTGGGTGACCTATGCTCTTCCATGAACGGTAACAGGCGTAAGTAAGGAAGGAAAGGAAGCAGGTAGGTAAGTAAGTGATATGATGGGGAAAAAAATCAATATTCGCTTGGTTTACTCAATATGAGTTTTATTCACCATTACATCCTTTTTGATTCAATGTAGTGATTACTCAATGTAGTATTTGTTTTCTTTTCTTGTATGATATTTTATTCTGTATGATATACAATATTCTTGTATTCCATTGACTATGAACTATACTCAGCATATGATTTGTTATAACTGTGAATTTTTTTCATGTATGTGATTGATGCAAAGATTGATAACAACAGCTTATGGTCTGTGAGCAAGGTGAATGAATTTGTGGAATCGACGGACAATAAATATTAGGGCTAACGCTTTCTTCTCGATCTGGCCGTAGCGTTTCTCAGCAGGTGTTAGTGTTCTCGAAGCACGAATCACCGCTTTCTCTGAACCATCTGGAAAGACATGAGAGAGTACGGCACCCAGTCCATGTGTTGCAGCGTCAGAAGCAGTCACAATGGGTAGTTTCGGATTGTAGCGCGTTAGCAGTAGTTTGGAACTTAGCATGGATTTGAATTTCGAAAAGGCTGACTCATATTGGGTGGACCAATTCCAAGTAGCATTCTTTTCTAGCAGACGACGTGGCCTGCTTGAGTATCTGGGCTACCTGTTCCTGCCATCTGGATATTTAAACAAGTTATCTGTTTTCTTGTTTGTTTTAACACATCATTATGCCTATTAGTCTCATAACCTATTCAGGTGCGTTTGTGAAAAGTTTACGACATTTTACTGTACAAGTTACAAAAGAGCTCAATCAGAGACATTATGGTTACTGGCAATATGCATCGAAAAGGATATACATTTATCAGATGTCGATTCCTGAACCGCTAACATCTAACTGGCGACCAGTCAATATTTATCGCAAGGAACTGATCAAGAAATAAGATAGGGAAACTTGTTGAAATACTTTGTGTTGAGAATTTGATATTGTACCAAAAATATAATATTGAATAAAGCCACTAATAATAATAATAATAATAATAATAATAATAATAATAATATCGTACGTTATGTAGTGATGGAAGAAATGCTGAATAGTAGCTAATCATTCCTAAAAATGGTCGCAATGAAGAGACATCAGTGGAGTCAGGCACTTGTTAGATTGCGTGAGTATTTTGAAGATCAGGGTGTCCTCCGGAAGCATCAAAGATAAACCCCAGGTATCTAATGTAACGTAAGAAGAATTGGTATTTCTCTGGACAAAAGCGAAAACCATTATCCTGGAGGCGTTGTAGTATTAAGTGTGTTCTGGTATACAATTCATCATCAGTTAAGCCGACAATGAGGACATCGTCAAGGTATGTAGCAACACCAAGAACATCTGCCAGGTAAGTAAGTAAGTAGGTAAGTAAGTAAGTAAGAACGTATGTAGCTAAGTAAGTAAGTAAGTAGGTAAGTAGGTAAATGGGTAGGTGGGTAAGGAGGTAAGTAGGTAGGTGGGTAAGTAAGTAAGTAAGTAGGTAAGTAAGTAAGTAAAGTAAGTAAAGTAAAGTACAATAAGTAACTTACCTATTTGATCGATTGAATCGTTTAGGACTTGTTGATAATTTACGTCTAGCTGTTATTATTTGTCGTTTTTTATTCAATTGTAAATTATTTTGATTATTTAATTGAATTTTTAATTTTTTAGCTTTTGGTGATAAATTAGATAATTGTGATCTATGATCTAAATCAATTTGATTTGATTTTATCATAAATGATTGTAATGTAGGTTTATATAATAAATTATTAATTGGTATATTCTTTGATAGAATATTTTCATCTACATAGGTTTCTTGTTTCATAACTTTGAATGGATGATATAATATAGAATGATTTAATGTTTGTATAGAATAAGAATAAGTATCATTTGGATCAATCGATAAATAACCAGAATCTTGTGTTGAATTCATACCTAATTTAGGAGGATGTGAATTTGATTGAATATTGATTTTATTATTATTATTATTATTATTATTGATTTGATTTGATGAATTAATTGATTGTGATAATTTACATTTTTGTATTGATTGTTGTTTTTTTACTTTTTCGTCGTTGTCGCCGTCGCCGTCGTCATCGTCTTCTTCTTCTTCTTCTTCTTCGATTTGTAATGGATTAACTGATGAAATTTCATTATTATTTTGTTTATTGATTAATTCATTGGATAATAAAGAAGGTTTTGGTATATTAGTAGTGAATGAAATCGATGTATTAGGTAGAATAGTTGATAAATTAATTGGAGATGATGTTTTCTTAATATTTTGATTAGGAAATAAAGTAGATCCTTTAGAAGTTAAATGATTCAAAGTTTGTCGTTGTTGTTGTTGTTGTTGTTGTTGTTGTTGTTGTCGATATGATGATAGATTAACCTATTAAAGATGGATAATAAAATATGATTATTATAGATAAGGTTATAGAAATTATTAAATTTCTATAGTTTAGATCTTTTGATGATCGACTGGATCATGAAGATGTCAACATCTGGTCGGGGGGAAGCATAGGATACAGTGGACAGTTAGAATGCAACTGGACGATCTAGACTTCGTAGATGTTCTGACTCTTTTATCGCACACGCAACAACAATTACAGGAGAAAACGATCAGTGTATCAGGAGACACATCAGCAGTAGGTCTCAACATACACACTATTGGGAATACTAGATCCCCAGAAATGAATTGAATAGAGTTTTATTTTTGTAATTTTATTTTACAAGTTCGGATTTCTCAATTTTGTGTCGAAATCGCCCATTTTGACCTTCAGATTGTATTTCCCACTTATAAGGACCTAAAATATCATTGGTTTTTTAATACGCTATTTTATGACCTTTCCCAAGGACATTTTTATACTGTATATATACATTTGTGTTGTGTGCTTGTGGAATGTATTTTATCTTCGGCTAAATCTGTTTTCTTCCTCTAGACAGCAGGGCTGAGGTGTATTGGAATAGTTTAGCTTGTCTTATTGTTGTGTCGCTGACTTTGTACCGTTCATCAATTTAAGTGATACCGTAATCTCTTCAATTTTAGTACAAGGATATTTCGAGTGTTGAAAATGATGAATATATTAACAAATGGACTGAATATTTGTGATACGCTGAACAAGATAGAACAGATCATATTCCGTTACAGATTTAAACAATATGATAGAAATGTAACCATGAGTGGATTACACTAAGTGAGTGAACTGTCGATCTAGGCAAGGCGACCACTAAGAAGTCTCTGTCTATTTGTCTGTCTAAGGAGTTATAAATACGAAAGGGTTGAGTAAATCATTATTCAACTTTCAACAATACGAATTCTCAACGAGCTATAGTTATTTCTTTTTTGTATAGTAAACTAGTTAAACATTTGGATATATTTATTTACTTATAACTGATTTAGATCATCTAACAAAACAATTGATCTAATTCACTTGATATTGTTTTACTTGAATCTTTCCATTGATAATTAGGATTGCAATTGATCAGTCTGTTATTGGCATATGTGCATACTGTGCGTATTGCCTCAATATTGCCTTAATTTACAAGCATTATAAGCAAAGACAGATAGTGGCTAGCAGTGGAATCCAGGACGCGCGTTTCGTCCTATTTGGGACTCGTCAGCTGAATGTACCTGCATCTCAGAGTTGATGTTCACTCTGGGACTCGAACCCAATACCTTCCGCTTCAAACGCCATCACGTTATCCACTTAACTACTGAGTCCTTTTTATCGCTCAGTTTAGAAAGTCAATAGAAATCAAATATCAGTATGAAGTTGTAGAGATTATCAAACTTTTGATTGAAATCGTAGATGCGCACTGCTGAGGAGTCCTACAATAAGATAAAATAATCATCCAGTACTTCCAGATCTTCAATAATAATCTAACATCAATCGATTCATGATGTTAATCAGAAGCCAAATATTATGGATCATATAATTGTTTCTAAATACTGTAAAACTTGAATAGGTTTCAGTCTTATGGAATAGTAGTAGATGCATAACTTATCATAAATACTAATTTATAAGTACTCCTAAACTCTTTTAAATAAACAATCATTACTTACCATACTATTCATATATGGATCTATTGATGTTTTATACATATCTATGATATCACCAGTTGATGAACTCATTTGTTTAGTTAACATTTCAATATTTTTTTCAATTGGTATATTTTTTTGTTCTACATCTTCATTAGAAACTTCTTTTAATGGTGATATTGTTCTATCATTAGGTGAATAACTTCGTGTTATACCTGTAATAAGTTTTTCAACATTTGATAATGTTTCATTCATTAATGTTTTATGAGGTGCAGAAAATGGACGAATTAATTCATTAGTTATTGTTATTGTTGTTGTTGTTGTTGTTGCTATTGTTCCTGTCCCTGTTGTTGTTGTTGTTGTTGTTAACGATGATGATGATGATGATGATGGTGGTGGTGGTGGTGGTGACACTGTAACATGTATTAATTCATTACTATTTATTATCGGTTTTACAAATCGATGTAAATGTGGATTATTTAAATTTGCAAAACATTCAAATACATCCATCGTTGTTTCATTTACACGATCCATTGAATTCGGTGTAGAGTCACGTGATAAGAATTTCCGAAAGAATCTTCGTCTTTTTTGACAATGTTGTTGTCGTTGTTGCTGTTGTTGTTGTTGTTGTTGTTGTTTTAAATCTTGTATATTAGTTAATGAATATGTAGAAGGTTTGATTATATGATACGATTGTAATTGTTTTGGATATTGTCGTTGTAAACGATCATGAATAAAAGATTGATTTGTTTGAATATTACTTAAATGAGATGTTATATCTAATTTTAATGTTGGAGAAGAAGAATATGATTGAGTAATTGGGAAATTTGAAGAAGTTGATAAATAATCAATAGAACTATTAGATAAATATAATTTTGATGATTTTATTTCTTTAAAAGAATCATTAATATTGATTTCATATTGACATTTTTTTCTCCATTCAATACCTTGTTTTATATTGATGAAAAGAATAATTAAATATTTTTAAAAAAATAACACACACACACACACATTGAATTATATGTTTCTATGGAAAAATAATAAGATAGGTTAGTGATTATATGTTAGATATTTGGTAAAATATTTTATCGATTTCTTTGAATTCAATATCATTTGAACACCAATTATCACGATATGTAATGCTGACTGGTGTTAGGGATAGTTAGAAGAAAGTTAGGGGTGGTCAAACTAAAATATGGCAACAGTGATTGAAGTCACTAACTTCTAGTCTGAGTCATATTAGTAGATACAAACTACTTGGTTGAGGTCAGTTGGTGACTATTGTAACCAATGGTTGGAGACTGTGTGTGTGATATGGCTCAGAATCGATCAGAGTGGAGTAGGTGTATACACTCTTTGTCTTCCCTTAAACTATGAGATTGAAATTGCTTCATATATTTCTTTCTACCTACTAATTCTTTCTTCCTGTACTATATCCTTATACACAATCTTTCTTTTATACATTACTAACATTGAAGTGACTACTTCTATGAATTCGGTGTTGATCTTGTTGTGCTAATGAGAAATGGCAACTTGGATCGATGCATATATGTACCCGGTCCTATATTGGAGCTGACTGATTGATTGACCGCGTGTATACATTTGCGTACCTAAACACTGGCATATTACCTTCGTACAAGATCTAATGTTTTGAAAAACATTTGTTGTTTACTTATGTTACACGTTTGCACTTAACTATTTGACCAATTTTGAAGAACACCATATGACCAGAACGAGGTATATTGCGATAAAATACAGGGGCTGATGTATTTATAAAAATCATTAACCAGAAGATACAAGTGTTTATTAACAGTTGCCTATGCAAAATACTTCAGATTCGTTGGTCAGACACTATCAGCAACAATCTACTATGAGAGAGAACAATCATCAGATCTCAGCAGAGGAAGAAAGCAGGAAGAAGCGATGGAAGTTGATAGGACACACATTGGGTAAAGCATACAGCTGCGTCACAAGGCAAACCCTCACTTGGAATACTCAAGTCCAAAGGAGAAGAGGAAGGTCAAAGAACAGATTACATCGAGAAATAGAGACGGACATGAGAAGAATGAACAACAATTCGACAGAACTCGAAAGGATAGCCCAGGACAGACTGGATTGGAGAATGTTGGTCGGTGGCCTATGCTTCACTGGGAGTAACAGGTGTAAGTAATATATATGTTAAATGACATATTTATCTGTTTGTACTCAGTGACTAAACACGGCTTCTTTCCACTAGAGATCCATCAAAATTCTACTAACCAGCTGCTTATGCGATATATCTAACGTGGAAATCGAGATGAGTAAGTACTTGGTTACAGGTCAAATGCTTCAAACATCAAGTTCTAGATCCGAAGTAAATCGTGTCGACAACTTGAATGATAAAGAATATTTTAAGCCCATGTAACGATATGATTCTAAAGGTATAGGGTTCTATAATAATTTATATAAAATTATATATATATAATAATTTGACATTATGTAACAATTTCTATTTACTCTATAGAATTCACATTTTACCTACCTGGTTGATGAAATTGTGGTTCTAATTGAAAAGCTAATTCTCTTGCTTGATTAGATAAATGCAATGCTTTCTGTATAATAGACATGGCTAAATCAGCTGCTTTACGAGCTTTCAATGCACTAAAACACAAATTAATTTAATAAAACAATAATAATAATTAATGATAAATATTCATCAAACGTAACGTGATTGCATTGAATCCTGAAGACTTATTTTATATTATTTAAACGCATGAACATTAGTACAAGGAGGCATCGAATAGATATGCGCCACATAAATCATTCGATTAATGTGAGCGCTGGGATACTGCCCGGGTGCCCAAACCGAAGTAGATGGTTTTCTTAGGGGGCCACATCCCGCGACTTTGACCTAAAGGTCTAATCCACAAGGTAGTGAAGATGTAGTCCCATGGTAGCTCGTGACCAACAACAGGTTAATATGCCATTTGTTCCCTTAGGATCCTGTAGCCCATGTGTATCGTTGATTTGGAATGAGGGATTTTCAACTCCAAAAGGTAAATTCTTCGTATCCACCGACCCGGTTAAGGCGTAGAACATTCGCCTTTCGTCTTCTCAATTTCGTGAACAACAGTAATGCCTCAAGGAGGCAGTGAGTAGGACTTCCTTGACAATTGATGTATAGGCGTGACCATACGAGAGCATTTGAAAAGGGAGATCTGACCCTCCACACTCTCCGCTGTACTAGGGCATTCGGGGGCAATATCCATCAAACTGAACGTCCTTGCATTGAACCCTGAAGACTAGCAAATCTTTACATAAGATTTTATTCAATTCACTGATTATTGACATATATGTATAACTATTCATACATTTTGTTGAGGATGTTAGATATCCAGAACTCACTTAGTAAGTGTCTTATTTTTGTAATTTTATTTTGAAAATATGGTTTTCTTGTTTTCGCGCCAAAACACCCTTTTATTCACCTTTATGTCGTATAACCCAGTTGAGAGGACCATAAATACTATTGGTTTGTTGTCTCTTTTAATATGATATTGTATAATGTTTCCCAATGACATTTTTGTGCTATGTATATACTCTTGAATCGTACTTATTGTTGTTGTTGTTGTTTATGATTCTGGATGTTTGTGGAATATATTTCCCTCTTCCGAACTTTCACTTCTCTTTCTAGTTTGCGGGGCTGGGACACGTTGAAATAGCTGGATTATTGATCATTGTGTCATAGAAACTTTGTTCCATTCTCAGATTGGGTGAACTCGTAATCACATTAAACATATCACATTTGCATTCAATTCATTATGTATTTATAACGAAAGAGATCCATTTTGTCATCGAAGAGGAATGAAGATAATTGAGGAAAGAAAATTCTATTTTTCTTTTTTTACACATAAGTTTTTCATTTAAATTTCTCTTGAGCTGACTCTTTTAAGAATTTTAAGGAGGTTTCTGGTGAACCAAAGTAACTAGAATTACCTAGATAATCCAAGATCGAGCTTTTGATTGACTTCTGTAATCTTATAGAAAGCCAGGGAGGATAATGTTCAGAGATGATTTTTTATCGCTTTGTATTCAAGTCAATATTTGTCTGTGAAATAACTGATTAATGTAAATTCGCTAGAGCGCTATGATCAGTCAGTTATCGATTTATTCCCGGAAGATATTTGTAAGAAAATATTCTGGAAAGATTTCTGTGATGACGGCTGTCAGGCAAACTCGAGGAATCTCTAAAAAGCTCAGAAAGAGCCGAAGACACTCCATCCAATCATCTTTTGGAAGAATATTCCAGAATTTCGACGTGTAGCTTTCCTATTGGACAAATGCTAATTACTACTGTACTTTAATTGAATGTCTATAATGATGATTACGTTTTTACTAAAAACTATAAATACCTGATAGTTTTGTACCATAAATGACGCTGTTTTGGAATAGCATTCATTTCACTTGTCTTCTGTCTTCTTATTTGTGACTTAGAGGGTTCTACCGTTGGAGTGTTCACGTTATACACGGTATATTAAGAATCTAAGCTGTAGATATAAAAATTTCTTGCTTGATAAAGTTTTATTCAAAAATCAGTTTCCAAGTAAGATTGATGTTAACTCCGAAAATTTGTTTTTTTTTTACTATTAATCTCATCAAAACATGAGTTCATGAATGATCTTATACCCACCTCTTCATGTTCCCGATATGCAAATTGTCAAAACAAGGCAATACTGGAAAGACATAAAAGATGATATAAATGTCGAATAATTCAGGTGTTGAAGAACTTAACTTATAAGAATATTCTATTATACTATAAACAAATGTCCTGGGTTCAAATCCCGCGAGATAACATCGGGAATGCAAACTGCTGAGGAGTCCCACAATAGGACGAAACGGCCGTCCAGTGCTTCCAGGTTTTCCATGTTGATCTAACTTCAATTGATTCTTAATCTCTTCTATTGAAATTACTATGATATCCACAAAAACCTGACTGATATGAACCAACATATACTCACAAGTGACTAACTTCAAGAGGTAATATCCTGGAGTTCTATAGAAAAGTAGTGACCAGTTGAATTCAACCAGGTCTATTGTGATATAGTATCTCACTAAAGACAATGGTAGATGCGCCATTCAATTTCGTGATTTAGTTAAAGTTAGACATTAACACCATTGGATATCAGCGCAGTGGTCTCCTAAGTTCGAATTTCACATGGCGGGATCATGTATACATACTGCTGAGGAGTCCTACAATACAATGAAACGACTGTTCGATGTTTCCAAGTTTTCAATGGTGATCTAACTTCAATCGACTCATAATCTCCACAAAATTCCAATCTGATATAAATCAATCATTATAAACTACTTAATAAATACTTACTTTTCTTTAGCTTCTTCTAATGCTATTAATTTAGCTTGTTTTGCTGCAGTTTCAGCACGTATTAATGCATCTTCAACACATTCTTTTAATTTAGTTTGACGTACTAAATGTAATTTACTTTTACGATTAATTTTATTAATTAAATTATTTGCTTGAAATTGTCCTTCATCACGTGTACCATTTGGATTAATTATTATACCATAACCATGTTTTTGATTACGTATCCATTCACCAATATATATAAAACCATTTGAACGTTCTGCTATACCATAACCAGAACGTTGATCTTGAAACCATTCACCAGAATATATTTCTATTACACTAATAAATTGATTTTGATTATGATTATTATTATGATTATTATTGAATTGATAATCAATAATATAATCAATATTTTGTTGATTTAATTGTTCTTTTTGTTGTATTTTATCTTTATTTGTTATATTATTTATATTTATATCATTTACATTACTTAATGGATTATTATTAGTAGTATTAGTAGTAGTAGTAGTAGTAGTAGTAGTAGTGGTAGTAGTAGTAGTATTGTTATTAGTAGTATTATTATTACTATTTATTGAACGACCTAATTCAATTGCTGAATGTTGTTTTTTTAATCGACGCATAATTGCTCTACCAATTACAGCTTTACGACTTACTGATATAGTTTCTTTTAATGGTAAATTTATATTGGAACTATGATGTTTATCATTGGATTTATGTGATTGATTAATGATATGAATGTTTTTCATTTGATCTAATTCATTTATATATTCTGTTTGTGTAATAGGTATCTTTGTTGTTGTTGTTGTTGTGGTGGTGGTGGTGGTGATTGTGGTAATGGTGGTTGTGGTGGTCGTGGTGGTGGTGGTGGTGGTGGTAATAGGAGTACTATTAGAAGTAGTAGTTATTGTTTCAGTGTTTGTAGTAGTATTTGGTAAATTATCTGATAATGTATTTGTCTTATAACTAATAAATGATTTACGAACACCTAAACCATGACGAAATCCTTTTGACCAAGCACCAGCATATATGCCTATGATAGAGAAAAGAATTTAAAAAAAAAACATTAGGAAACTAAATAAACAAAAGAATTTTATCATGAAAAAGAAAAAAATTGGTATCAGAAGAGGGTTTATGGATATCTTAGTAATTTTATGGTTGAATTCATGAGTTAGTTATAAGTAGATCAAAGTGAGAAACCTGGAAGCACTTGACGGCCGTTCCGTTCTAGTATGGGACTCCTCAACAGTGCACATCCACGATTCCGCCCAGGGTAATCGAACCTTCAACTAAGCCACGAAATTGCGCCACCATCCATCATTGTCTTCAATGAGTTACAATCTGAGTTGTATCCTTCCATTGTTATTTAGGACTTCAAATAGACTGTCACTGACAACTAGATAACACTAGATTTACTTGGTGTTGCTTTACTTGTATCTTCCTTATTGTTATTTAGGACTGCAGTTGATCAGTCTATTGTTGGCATATGTACATCCTGTGCGGATTTTCTAGATATAGCCTCAAGTCACAAGATTTTTAAGCAAAGGTGGATAGCAGTTAGCGTTTTAATCCAGAACGCACATTTCGTCTCATTTGGGACTTGTCATCCACAGTTGATGTTCACTCTGGGCCTCGAAACCTGTACTGTTCCGCTTTAAACGCCATCGCATTATCCAGTGCGTCCTGGAGTGAACATCAACTCTAGGATGTAGGCAGGTCCAGTTGACGATTTCCGATTAAGACGAAAGGCGCGTCCTGGATTTCACTGCTATCCACTATTCATCTTTGCTTATAAAGATAATTTGTCACAAATTGACATAAACAAAGAAACATTGGACAGTTGTTTTTATGCTGAATTGGAATTCTCTAGTCATTCATACCAACAACTTCACATTGATTTGAATCCACAGCATTGAGATCTCATGACAAGTTCGTTACCTTTAGACCATTAAATAGTAACTAGTGAAATACATTTATATCAGGAGTGTAATGTTTAGTTATCAATGCAATAGGATAACTTTCTAACTTGATCGCAATTTATTTGAAGCCGGAATTACTGTTAAGACAACTTATATTAATACAAGTTATCTATTTATTAACATCTCTCATTTTAAGTTTATTTTTCAAATTTGTACAACTGTGGTATGTGCAACTGATATACAACGGTGTTAATGTCTAACCTCAAACAATCCACGAAATTGCATAACGATCTTCCATTGTACCAAGGTATATCCCTGTCTCTACCTTACACGGATTAACTCCACTAGAACTTCGAGGATTCCCTCACGAAGCTAATCACTAGTGAGCACATGATAATTGGCAATCAGCATAGGGTTGTGGAGTTTACTAAGTGCTTGATTGAAATCATGAACCGATAGGTTTTAAACAACCATTAAAAACCTGGAAGTACTAAATAACCGTTTCGTCGTGTTTTGAGACTCCTCAGCAGTGCTCATGCACGATCCCGCTCGAACGATTCAAACCCAGTGTTGGGATGATCCAGAAAATTTCTCGCGAAAGTCACGCAAGGATCAGGAAACATTAAGAAGCATTTCATCCAGTCAGTGTCCACTTGAAGTTTTAGCCAAAAACATCAAGGAAGTGAAAAGTCACATGTAGAGATTCTGATTAGCTGATTGCTATACTGCTACTATGTTTAGTAGCATTCCAGAATCTTCGAGAAACCCAAGGACATTTAAAATATTATATAAACCCTATGTTTTCTGTAATAAAATGAACCTTTGGAGTAAAGTACTTTTCGCATACTTTGCGCCTTCTCTCTTGTGTTCAGGTCGCTGTATAGTTCTAGCTTGAGGGTTACAAGAATAGCTCAGGAACCGAGTATAGCCTTCAAATTGTAAGACTTTTCACCCAAGGCATTTAGTTTCGCGCGCGGACACTTAACCTCTAGATTACTGAGCCGGCCGGCATCCAACGGCGTTAATTCAATTGTCACCATTTATGTGTTCTCATTCACTACACAACTTCATAACCAAAATTTATTTTACATACGACTGAATCTCTATTACATAATCATTCTAATTAAAAAAAACATTTATCAATCAGTTCTCTATGTATGAATAGTGGTTTTAATGATTTTTTTTGAAAAAAAAAAGAAAAAATATTTTTCTCCCTTAGCAACAAATGAAGCGGTATATTTTTTCATATATGTTAACCACCAATCAAATTTAAGGTGAAAATTTGACCTAGTCAGATTTAAATTTCTCAATGTTCATATATTATGTAAAGAAAAATCATTATTATTCTTTTGAATAACATTCCTCTTTTTTTTTTTTTGAAACAAAAACATTTTAGTGGTTATTCATTATTTCACGATTGTATAATCTTAGTTTTACAATATGAATCGATTTTAGTTATGTAATTATTAAAAACCAGTAGGTAATGGCCAGTTGTTTCATCCCAATCTTGAATTCATCATCAGTAGTCATCTTTGATGTTAACAACAACAGATTATAGGATTTTCAAGTTTGATGATGGTGTGTTGTGGGCTACTTATATACATATAAGTAGTATGTAACGGTGGTCAGGCATAGAATTCATTTCAGTAGAAGATCGATAAGGAAAGAATGAAAACGGAATGCAATTGGTGTGAAAATGCATGAAGAATAAAATCTGAGGCAATGGACTGATATTTTTGCAAATTAACTATTAACTATATGGTTTTCAGATTTTATTGAGATGCTCTGTAATTTCGTGTCAAACACATCCGATTGTTCCCACACGTGTTCTTGTTCACTACAATAGGAGTTTAATCCTCACAATGAATAGAAAGCTATAACTATCAATCATGGCCTATTGTATATAACTCATTAATACATACATACTCCTCTCTCGAATATAAAATCTAAGACCTTGACAAAATATATAATTAGCTTTAAACAATAGTGTGCATTGTTGTAACCTCTCACTTGGCCCTTTACCTTAAGACAACTTATGAGCATAAGTATCAATATAAAAAGTGAATCTAGAAACACCGAAATAAGTCATTACTGAATAAAAAGTTTGGTGAGACTGTAATTTATGGACAAACCAATGAGAGTCATGAATTTTGGCGCGAAATTCAGTTATCCATTTGGTGAAATAGCTGATGTCAGTTCCAGATGCAAACCCGAAATCTAATTCCTAACCTTAACTATCAATTTTAAATCATAATTCTAATTCTTTACACTGGTTTATAACCCTTATTTGATCCTGGTAATTAGGTGGATACTCTCAAGGTCAATCTGGCTTCGCTCAAAGGTCGTCCATAAAATTGTAGTCTCACTAGAGATTCTTATCATTTGTTTATTGTCATATTTGATTATGTTTTGTGTATAGGTTCTTCTTTATAGCTTAATTACATAATCAATGCTTAGATTACATAACTATATGGTTATTTCTCTCAATGTTCTTAATGTATAGTCAAAGTATCATTATGAAGGTTTGTGAAGATTGTAGTATTTTTACAGTTGAAATCATGTGTCTAGCTAAATTAGACTACCAATGAAAACCTAAAAGTACTGGACGGCTGTTTCGTCCTAGAATGGGATAATCTTCACAAATTTCCATACTGATAACAATCGTGTGCTCACTAATGATTAGCTTTAAGTTGTAACTACTGAAGTTCTAGTAAGAAGGTGTAACCAGTGGAGTCCAATTTGTGTTGGATGTGAGACAGATATCCACCTCATACAATAGATGAACGGTTGCATAAAATCATGGATCAATTGAAGTAAGACATTATTAACACCGTAGAATTTCGGCACGGTGACTTAGAGGTTAGGCGTTCACGCATGAGACCGAAGGTTCTGGGTCTGAATCTCATGTGCGAGACCATGGATGAGCACTGTTGATGAGTTCCATACTAGGACGGAACGGCCTATGAAGGACTTTGGTTATTTTTAGCTAGTTTTAAATGTTACAAAATACAGATCATTTCTTGGTCGCCTGTGTTCAACTTATAAGTCGCTATTAATTATTGTATTATTTAAAGAAGTTTCCTAGAATTTTATGATAGTACATGATCATGTACTGTCTGGATGTTTGTATTGAACGTCAAGACAGTTCTACTGTATGGAGCTAAAACGTGGAGAACTACTACAACCATCATCAAGAAAGTACAAGTATTTATAAATAATTGTCTACACAAGATATTCAATATCCACTGGTCGGATACCATCAACAACAGCCTTCTGTGGGAGAGAACAAGCCACTCCAGTTGGAGAGGAAATTAGAAAAAGACGATGAAAATGGATAGGATATACACTACGGAAATCACCAAACTGGACCACGAGGCAAGCCCTAATTTGGAATTCTGAAGGGAAGCGGATAAAATGAAGGCCAAAGAACACAATATGTCGAGAAATGGAAGCAGATATGAAAAGGGTGAATAACAATTGGCAAGAGCTGGAAAGGATTGCCCAGGACAGGGTTGGATGAAGAATGCTGTTGGGCGGCCTATGCTCCTCTACGAGGATTAGCAGGCGTAATTACATGAACATGTATATACTTTATGATCTTTATATTATAGCTAACCATGAATAAAACTACTTTGATACTTGATCAACGTAAATTAGTAAGAGAAGATATAATGCGCTAACTTTCGGAAACTTTATGGAAAACGCTTCTGATTTGCCTTCTTGGCTGATAACACGGTGGTTTGGTTTGCATAAGTATGTTAGTTGGAATACGTGTTAACTTAGTTCTAACTATATCAATTAGGCCGGTTGAATGGTGTTCCAAAAATAGCAAACTCATGGTCTGAAGGTGGAGCCACACTTTTGATAACAGTAAAAAGTCTCTTTCAGATAGCCAGAATTAGTAGAAATACTACCTTCCAGTAATAAAATAAAGTAGTTCTAAAAGTATCATACCTCATTTTACTGTACGGACTATTGGCGTTGACATTACTATCTGAAGGAGCATCTGTGATCAATTTTTAGCCATCGTATCTATGGCTTCGTGGTTAATCTCTTAGGTCGTAATGACTATATGCTTAATCCAGTTTCATTTATGGGTCCCTCAAGAAGAAGTATCTTTTAGACAGAGCAAGCAATAGTTAAGAAAAATTGAAAATGATATATGTTTTCTCATATCTAGAATGTACACTAATTAAGCATGGCGTTGACGTAAACGACGTTATGTTTTTCTTATCAAGTTACAACTCAGCTAAATGATTTGTTATAACGTATTTAATGTTCGTTGGTGCTGGTCAACAAAATGTCCCAGTAATCTTAAAGAAACTGATTGTGTATTTTTAAATAGTGAAGAAGATTTGTAGCTCAGATGGATAATTTTGTTGGAATTTTATTCTCTGAGCTAGATGGTTTGGTGGTAGAGCTTTCATAGTTCTTCTGAACAACATGATCAGTACGAACTTTAGGTAGAAGTTTGTGTTGATGATGTTGTTCAGAAGAATGATAGTCTATTGAAATAAAAATCATTTAGTTAATTATTCTGAGGTATTAGAACTAAGCTATTAAGAATGCGACTGACATCCTGTAAGATAGATATACTGATGGATTACTGAGTAGTGAAAAAATGTCATTTTTGTTTAGACTTTTCATTTGAATATAATTCTATTGGTAAAGTTGCAGCGTGGCTACTAGTCTAAGTGACTCGAAATCGTGTAAACTATGCCTGAATATTAAATGGTTGGAAATGGTCAGCAGATAATTGTAGATGTAGCTTTTATCCTAGCTGACACAGACCAGGTAGGCATACGTTCAGTTTTCAGTGAATTGTTACTTCTTAAGTAATTCAAAATCCTCGTCTCCTACTATCATAGTGTTAGTCATGTTACCATTGATCTATTCGGGTCGGTATAATTTCGTTCATGTTTGCAGATATAGGCCTTCCCATAGATTGTCAACTAATATGAAACCTATGTCGGACAGGACGTCTTGATAATCAAAATACTTAGCAACCCATTTATAAAAAAATAAACTAACTACCGTACTTATTAGATTAAACGAATATTTAGTACATTTTTATTTCGAAAAATGCGAACATACTTCCATCAGCGCATGTTTCAATTCCAAAACCTTCAAATCGATTTAAATTCCAACTACCTTCATATTTTGCTTGACTATTTGTTGATGTTTTAACTCCATATTGACCAAAAGCACCTGAATTAAATTCACCTTGATAAATCCATTTTCCTCTCACTTGAACACCATTACCATGACGTTTACCTTTAATCCATGTACCAGCGTACATATTTCCATTTGGCCATAAATATACACCACATGTTTCAAAACCTAAATTCCATTCACCGGAATATTCACCAACACCATTTGGTCCTGTAGCTAAACCAAGTCCATGAGCTGAACCTTGATACCAATTACCAATATATGTACCACCATCATTAAAATCAAAACGTCCACCGTCTGTATTCATTAGATTATAATTTCATATAAATGCTATATATTTATCCATTTGTATATTATATCATACTTGATTTTGAAGGTCTACATTGAAAGTTGAATATTTTGTTTTAAGCATATTCCAAATTGAATCTACAAGTGTAAATAGATATCGAAATGTTCGATATGAGAATATTGAATATTTAATATTGATGATCAGTTTTACCAATGTCATCGAAAGAAAAGAAAAGTTCCTAGAAAGACGAAGAAATCGTGAAGTTTCTTTGGTCACTTTTTATATAATGTTTGGACTCCACAACAGTACATATAATCGATCTCGAACATGGGACTCAAACTCAGGATCTTCGGTCTTGTAAGTGAATATTTAATCTCTAGATCACTGAGACAGTAATCAGTGGTGTTGATGTCTAACTTTAGAAACGGATTACAAAGTTTGATTTTAAGTGATTGTAAGCAGTTTTTAGGAATCCTACACCTAGATTTCATGCTTAGTGGTATTCAACGGAAAAGTATAACTGAAGTCTCGAAAAATTTGGTACACTCTAGTTGGTTCAATCTTGTGTGCAATCTCTAAAATGACTGTATGAAATTGAGAAATATATACGCTAATCGACGATTTGATGGAACCTGATGCTATCCTAGTTTATGAATCAAGTGTATACAATGTATTTGAGTGACTTCAGTTAAACACAATCCGAAATTCAACTGAAATTACAACAAAAGTAAGTCATTTATCATAAGAAAAGTTGGATAATGGCTAGCAGTGAAATCCAGGACATGCGTTTTGTCTTAATTGGGACTCTTCAGCCGGATGTCCCTGCATCTCAAATTTGATGTTTGCTCCGAGACCCACGTTATCAACTTAACCACTAAGTAAAGTAAGTAAGTTCCGTATTTCAATGTAACGCGATGGTGTTTAAATCGAACGGTAGTTTACTGAGTTCAAGTCCCGGAGTGATCATTAACTCTTGGATTAGGGTACTTCCAGCTGATGAGTCCTAAAAATAGGACGAAACGCACGTCAATTTGAACTCCACTACTAGCTACTATCCATCTTTGCTTATTATTCTTGTGAATTAAGGCAATATTGAGGTACTGCGCACAGTATTCACATATGCCAATAACAGACTGATCAATTGTAATCCTAAACATCAATGGGAAGTTTCAAGTAGACAATATCAAGTAAGTCATTCATCGATGAAGTTTTCTTCTTTGATCTGGATGATTTAGTCGTGAAGTTTGGAAAGTATTTTTGCACATGTTTTCTGTAAATAAATTAACAAAATAGGCAGAATTCTAAAAGATATACTACAATGGTAATATAATATTACTTTAATTGTAAGCTTTCGTATAAGTTATTGACTATTGATCTGTCTTTGATCATTCATAATGTAAGATCAATTAAATGTACACTTGTTACTCAGTTTAATAGTACAAATGACTTGATTTTGATGGAGTTTCGTTCTCTGAGCTGGATGGTTTGGTCGTGGAGCTTTCATCGTTCTTCTGAACGACATCATCAGCACAAACTTCTATCTGAAGTTTGTGGTGAATACGAACAGAAGTGGGGACAAGCAAATGTACTTGGATACAAAATTACAGAATATATTAGTAAAATATGGAACCATACAGTAAATACTTCATTTACAAAATATCCATCAATTATCTCAGTATTCGTGCTTTCTTCGTTTCCATACCAATCACTCTCTGTTCTCGCTCTCTTCTCTTCTCTTATCTTATCTTGGATTTTTCTCAGCCATCTACCACCAGTCATTCTATTTTTGATTGTTGATGCCCATAACTTATACCTGTCGACATCAATAGCACACAACCCACTAGTAGAGGTTTAAATTACTCTGTCGATAATTTTCAATGGTGAATTGTAATCAATATTTGTTAGTATCTATGCATGTTATACGAATTGTCTTTATATGATTATTTGGTTAGAGGTTTTTCTTTTAAAAATAAATGGATATTACTTAGCAGTTTAATCAAGAAAGTAGGTTTCGCCGATTTTGGGTGGCTCATCAGCAAAATGGAGATATTGAATTAATCTATTTAGTATGGATGTATACATGATAAGATTAGCCAAAATCTAGTTATAAATATTACCCTTAAAATAATTTAAGCATTTTGTAAACTTAATAATGAAATTCACGAGTCATTAAAGTTAGACCACCATGGTAAACCTGGAATCACTGAATGGCCGTTTCGTTCTAGTGTAGGATCGTGGATGCGCACTGCTGAGGCAGTCCCATACTAGATCGAAACGGCCGTTTTTCTATGGTGTTATAGCTTTAATTGACTCATGATCTCAACGACTAAAATGACTATAACATCCACAAAACACCTGATATTCATTTACGTATGCTCACTAGTAACTGGCTTCAAGAGGTATATCCTGGAGTTCTAGTGAGAAACAGTGACCAGTGTAGTGCAACTGCATCTGTTGTGAGATATTAACTCACTAAAGACATTGGTAGGTGTGTCGTTCAATTTCATGGATTAGTTGAATTTAGACATTAACACTGTTGGATGCTGACCATCTCAGGCGTCTAGGGGTTAAGCGTTCGCGCACGAGACTGATAGGTGCTGGATTATAATCTTGCCAGGTGGGACCGTGGTTGCGCACTGCTGAGGCAATCCCACAATAGGATGAAACGGCCGTCTAGTACTTCCAGGTTTTCCATGGTGGTCTAACTTCAATTGACTCACAAATTCAACAATTAATTCAGTAAAATCTCCACAAAAAGCCCACTCTGATTTTATGAACTATTAAAAATTTAACAGAAGCTCCTAATTGACATTATTCAATTCATTTATTAAGAAAAATAAAAAACCGAATGAGAGAATGAAGAAGATAGAAAGATGAATGAACGAATGAACATTAAATTATGGGAGGTGGGGTGGGTAAGTCATTTCGAAAATGTTTAATTATCAGTTAGAGTTTATTGTAAGTATCATTGATTATCTCTATAAATTCGTTACTAAGACATTTTTTTCTACATAAAGCACTAATTAGATAAAAAAAAAAAAACAAGGATATTAAATTATCAAGATATATAATGACCTTGACGTAAAATTCGATTGTAAAAGTACAATGTTACTTTCAAAAAAGTGTATCATCTTGAGTAATAGATACCTATTTAAGGGTTTTATACTCACTTCATGACGATAAACTCTCTAACCATAATTATTTATCGAATAGATGCTTTGATAATAAGACACCGCTCCCCCCTTCCACAAAGAACGCTGTCTAAATGGAGTAGCAAAAGTGTATAACTTTCATGATTTTCTATCTTTCAACTGATGTGATATCGTTCAGATAATCAATTCTAAATAACAATTCATCATTTGATGTTTGTTTACATCATTGATTAGATTTGATCAGATAATCAACCATATGCCTATTAGAGAATAGTTACTAGTTGGATTATTGAATTTCTAGTGGGAAAACTTCACATGTCTTAGGGAAATGTGCTTACACAATACATACGCAAAACATCTTCTTATAATGGACACAATACCTTCGACTGTTACTTCTGCATAAATTCCTGAGATTCAGTGGTGGTGAAATTGAGATAATTATCACCAATAACATCAAAATATCACAATTTAATTGAAATTACATATGTAATTCAATGGATGTCAATTTTGGCTTTAACTCATCGTGAATCTCCAATATCACAGGTTTGATCTCTAGATGAGTCAAAATTACTAATCACAAATAGGATAGGATTTCACTGCTAACCACTATCCATCTTTGCTTAAAAATCATGTGACTTGAGGTTATATCGAAGCAATCCGCTCGGGATGCACATATGCAAATAAGAGACTGATCAATTGCAGTCCTAAATAACAATGGGAAGATACAAGTAAAGTAACACTAAGTAAATCTAGTGTTATCTACTTGTCAATGACAGTTTATTTGAAGTTACTTCTTAATGCAAACTACCTTAGAAATGAACATTTTAAAAATGAGAAGGGTTTTGGTGGATAATATAGTAATTTCAATAGTTGGGATCATCAGTCAATTTTAGCTACACCACCATGAACTACATGGAAGCACTGGATGGTCGTTTTGTCCTATCGTAGTTCCCGGATTCGAATCTCACAAGATGGGATCGTGGTTGCGTACTGCTTAGGTAGTCCTATAATAGGACAAAGTCAGTTCAGTGCTTCCAGTTTTTCCATAGTGATTTAGTTTCAATTGACTCATGATCTCAACCATTGAAATTTGAAAAATCGATAACAGATACTATTATTGTTATGATTACACAATTTCTCACCATATTTGTACATTTAAAATATCAATAATCAATAATATTGATTATTATTATTATTATTATCATTGTTATAAACACCTTAAGATAATTTAATTTATCTCATTACCATGTGAATTATTAAAAAGACAAAAAATATTCAATATATTCATGTATGTATGTGAGTTGCTATGTGGATATGTTTATCTGAAAGGATTAACATAATAATAATAATAATAATAAGCCAGAACAAATCTTCTTGATTTGAGTAATTCTTATATATGTATATTCTTTTTTTATTACATAATCAATGTGACAGAAGAGTATTTGTTATGGATAGGAAAACTTACTGAGTGAAAAATTAGAATGAGAATAGGGGTAATAAATAAAAAGAAAGAGTATCTAGGAAGAGTGTGTGTGTGTGTGTGTGAGTGAAAGAGAGAGTTATGAAATAGTTGATCGATTAGATTCGATTACAAATTATTCTCATTTTAATATTGAATAAGAAAAAGGTAAAATAAAAACTAACTTAGCTAAATAGTCAGCCAATCAGGCAGTCAGTTACAATGTAGGATCAAGCACATATGTGCATCGATCCAACTTGCCATACCTCATTAGCACAATAAGATGAACATCAAATTCATAGCGATTTTGATTTCATGGTTTAAGGGAATATAGAGAGTGCATGTCACCCAGAGCCTATAACTATATACCTTAATCATTAAAATACCTTTCTATATACATTAGATGCTCTCGAACTACTACAACCATCATTAAAAAGGTAT